CTCTGCCCACCCATTAGTCCAAGCGTCCATTTGCGTCGTTGCAGCATTTCAGGCGCTCCCCGAAATAGCTGGCCTCTGCTGAGGAGACTTCGGAGAAATGACAGCGGGCCGAATAATGGCCTCACCCTTTGAGGCCCAATTCGCCACCCGGAACATGAACAAAGATTGATGCAAATCTTGATGCATAATAATACATGAGTTAATACATGATAGCCCCCGCACAAGACCCGTGGATGGTAAAACCTCTCTTCAGCGCCTGGGGAATCAAGTCTACATTACAAAAAGTCGTGGGTAGTTGATGTTATAAGGGTGGCTGCACAATGAAATGTTTGCGAGGGGCAGGTTGCTACATTTTGCTACTGGCAGCCCATCGCGGAAGCCCAATTCCGTCCAAGTGGCAAAGCTCAAACCGCCCATCTCGGTCTTGTAAGACACCGGGAGGTGCCTCAAAGAAGGCTCAAGAACGGAGTCCATGACTTGCAGTCACACTTCATGCACAATTCAGTGGTCAACCAGTCACCGCAGGGGGTGTGCTTTGGCGAAATGTCATGGAGGCAATTGGGAAGAACGGTGTCAACCAGCTCCAAAAAACCAAGCACTCTTCAAATGGCAACCGGACCGCATTCTTTTCCTCTGAGAGCTCTACCACCCCTGCATCGTGTAGAACCTGGAGAACGGTCCATGGCGAAAAGCACAACCAGTGATCTTCTTGGATGTCTGGTTTTGTAAGTTCCGTGAGTGCTCATGTGTGATCACAAGCCTTGTCCCACACATCTTCTGGAAATCCGAGCGTTGCCGGCACGTGTCAAGCGCTTCGCTGGCGCTCCCCCGCGCGCCTTAGCGATCCTTGAGCGGCTCGAACTTCCAGATCCACCGCGCACCGGGTGGTTTGCTCAGTGCAAGTGATGTTGGTAAACCTGCAGTGTTCTGCGCAGCTCTGGCCTTCCGCACACCCGACTGGGACATCATTTGGTAATGTCTCGGCGACGTCTCTTGGAGTCAAGTGACAGGAAAGAAGTGTTTCTTTCTGGCCAAAAATTGTCCACAGAAAGGAATGTGGATGATGGAAGTTCAGAATACACAGAAGGTTGTCACGGTTGTCCTTGTTCATGATTCCTTAAGCCTTATGCCCCACCTGTTCATCTCGTATCTTTTGAATCGACTCTTGCTGAGACTCTCTGGCCAAGCCGCATGACGAGCGAGCATTTTCCCACATTCCAGCCACCAGTCGAAGTTTCGATGGTCCAAATCAAAAGGCCACATCTCAGCAGTAGCAGGGTCACAACAGTCACTTTGCAAGGCAGAATGATGATACAATCACAAAAATAAGCAAATACAATGCGGAGAGGTTGTACAAAGAATTTGCCACGCAAATTGGGCACAACATAGTTTCAACATAGCCAAACCTCTCTTCAGCTGAGCTTCATTACAAGCTCAGTCAGGCAAAGACAGGGGAGAACGCACTTCGTGAGGACACTCTTGGCTGCAATTTTGCTCTCCTGAAACTTTCGGCACGAATCCCCCCACACACCCACCCAAAAGGACGGTTAGACGGACGGCGTCATGCGCCGGACGTCCTTGTGCTCAGGTGGAGCCTCCAGTGCCAAGTCCAACCTGGACAAGTCATCGGTTCCGTCCGCTTCAGAAAGCTGGACACGCACAAAAGAAACGTTTCAAACAAACCACCCCGCCGTGTGTGTGTGTGTGTAGCAATTCGTTGGTGGACATCCCTTGGTTCTTCTCACAAATTCATCATGTTTCATATCTTTATGAGCTGTGCTCAGCTCAATCAAATCGCTTTCGATCAGGTTAGTGTTTAGGTTGTTCTTCTGAAGGATGTTGAAGAAGCTCCACAGTTGTACTGTACAGAATCTTGTGCCGTACAGAATTGTTTTGCGAGGAGCATATCAAGTACGCGGACAGCATCTGCTAAAGAAAGGCCACCATTCCTGCCAAGCTTCGGTGAGAAAAAAATGCCTGCCCCTGGACCACCGATTGAGCACAAAACTTTCTGGGTCTCAATAGAAAACTGGATCATGGTAGCAATGATGAGCAAACTTGAACATGCGAAAACAATTGCAAATGTCACCACTCCAAGAAAGCATTACAAGAACGAATCGCGAAGACTCCGTCATTCTTTCATGCACGATGTTCACCCAAAAACGGTCGACGAGAGACGGTCGCCGGTCGACGAGCATGTCGACCGGTGGTCCCGAACGGCCGCGTTCTCCTCAGAGTCTCGAACTTGTCCGGGGCTTCGGACAAAGCCTCCAGCAACCTGGACCCCCCACAATGTCGACCGGATGAGCCCTCCTGACCAAAATCTACCCTTCACATGTCCAACATGTCCAAGACACCTGGTGTTGTTCGCAGTTCTGGGCACTCTCAGCGCCTGAGCAGACATCTCACTCCATAGATTGACGGCCCTGCATCACTTCCAGAATGTAGTCGGCCCAAAAAGGTGCTAGTTTGTCTTCACTTACTGGTATGTTGTGCACCCTGTGGATTCTGGAGTCGGGAGGTTTTTCTCAACATCTGCATATGGGCACGGAACAATCATCACAAAACAAGAAACACCAAACAAAACCCTGATGTGAGCGAAGGACACCTACACGCCCTCATTGGGTCTCACCGGCCCAGTTGTGCCTCCCGGATACGGGGATAGGGCGTCAAAAGCTTCAGCAACTCTTGCTTTGCTTCTTCCTGAGGCGCAGAGCTCTGAAAGTGAAACAAAAGAGCTTTGAATGCAAAAAGCTGGGAATGCAAACAGCTACTACTAGTAATGCCCTTTGCTACTAGTAGCTTCTTGTTCCTAGTAGTAAGGTGGCTTGTTCAGGTAGGCGTTTGCAGCTGAACACGGTTGAGCCACCTTGCATAACCGCCAGAAACTGTTTCGACACTGCATGAAACATTCAGCTAGTGTCCGGCATTCTTCAAGAACCGTTAAAAGCTTTGCCCGGAAGTCGCAACAGTTCAGCAAACACAAAATCGATGCTTTGACCTCGATCAATGATCAATGCAAAACAAGCTTCTGGGGCACTGTCCACCTCCTCATCTTCCGTATCGGTCAGACTCTTCTGCTTTTCCAGCTCAAGAGAGGACTCCGCCACGCGAATGGTGATGCGAGGCCTCAGCAAGGGAAACTCGAGCTAGCTCGGCCTGGAGTCAGTGGAGTCCGGGTCCTTTTTAGACCGCTTCCGATCTTGAATCCTGGCTGCCGAGGCGTGCTTTCGTGTGAAACATTCACACCATTTCACACCAACAGGCACCTAGAAGAGCAGCCAACCCGCTGAACTTCCAAAGTACTCCAAACATCTCGAAACAATACACTCAACAACCTTTTTTAGTGCTCTTGAAGTTCTCCCAGGGCATGTAACATTCTGACAGCGGCCAGCATACCAAAGCAACAGAATCAGTTCTGCAGAATCAAGGAGGGGGAGAAATGGTACAATGGTCCACTGAACCCTGACAAAGTCACCCAACTTGTTGGAGCGATCATCTTACCTGTTGCACGTTCCTCTTTGCCCCCTGAATCCTGTGCCTCTTGGACTTGGCAAGCAGCCACTTAGTCACAGCCAAGCGGCTTGTTAGTTGCCATCAAATCACGGTACGCTTCCCCATGGCTAGAGAGCTGTCGGGCACATGAAATGAGCCAAGCCCCAGCCCTCTCAATGCCAAACGACTGGCTGCACGACAGCAAGACACAGATTACAATTTGGCCAACGTTGGAGGTGTCTGGTTTGATCTGGGTTGGCATGTTGGGGAGACCTGAGACCCTATGCCGCCCTGGTGAAAATGAGATTGAAAGCCTACTCTCGAGTCATCCATATGCTTTGATCTCGTCCAGGGCCAGGTCACACAGGACTACACAGGCATCTAAAAGTGTCCTGCGGATCGAACAGGCCAAGATGAGGTGCACCAAACCCACAAACCAAATCAACTCACATAACAAACACCTGCAAAAACACAAGGGACCAACCAAAAGGCCGCCCAAAATGGATCACCCCTCCCTGTATGTGGGGCTCACACATGCTCCGACTGCCTCAAGTGGGAACACACAAATCTTGACATTATCCATCTGTGTCTGTGTCATCATCTTCGCATCACTCCTTAAGGATCCGCCGAGCAGGCGTCCAATGTTACGATTCATTGATGATCACCTTCAAGTCAAGCCTAGTAGACGAAAAAACCAAACTCTAATCACTGGAACTACCCGAGCAATATATTGTTGCGTATCGTCTTCAAGCTTCCTGCACTGTGAGCACTGGATAACACTTCCCCAAAACGAACTGCCAGGCCACCAGCGCCACCAACAGGGCCACCAGGGCTGGGGCTACTGGTGCTGCTCAGGCTTTGCCCTGCCTGGGTCAAAGCAGCAGCGTGTGCCCCTCAACGCAGGGGCCAAGACAACTGCCATATTGTCGCCTTTCATGCAAAACCTGAAAGAGGATATGATCTTACATAGTCATCACGAACCTCAGTTCCAGCCCCGTGAGCATGGATGACTCTCATTATCTGCCTTTGGAGCCTTCAGCAAGGCACGTGAAGGCTGCACCTTACAGTAGCTGTGCCATGGAAGTGTTCGTTGATCCAAGGCCACGAACTGGCATCACGCAGCACGACTACTAAGTACTGGGACTCCACAGGGTTATGGCAAGGATTTCTTGCGGCGACTGTGTTGAGGTCTTGAATGGTCCTGAGGTTCTTGCCGGATGCCCGTTTCCTGCGCGTGGGCCGGTGATGGTACGGAAGCGCGTCGCAACAGACGTTCCACACATGGCTGCAAGCGCTCTCTATTTTTTTCGGCATGCGCTGCAAGCACCGAGGTGGGCCTCTCTCTGGGCAGCCGGGCAACCAGCTTTCAACTGCCAGAAGCTGCCCTCAGAGCCCTCAAGACGCCAAAAAAGCAAGTGCCCTCAGCCACCGACTGTATGATGGGCTCAATCCAACAAGATCCAACAAGGCCTTGAATATGACCTGACCGACCCATCTCTTGCCCATTAAGTTGCCAGCAACGTCATTATGGCCCGCAAATCCAGGCAGGAGAAGCGCCTGATGGGACGAGAACCGTTCATCTTCACCAACAGAACTGAGACCATCAACTCCACTTAGTGTGTACTGCCGCTTCCTTCATGACCCAGACGTGTTCTGCGTACGTATGTGTCAAGCCTACCTACATTCATCGCCAAATATATAACCTAATTAGCTGCCTGCCTAACCCTACATCTTTCAACATACAAGGGGCCGCACAGTTGCCGGGGACACTTTGGGCCAAACTGGTAAGCAGAACTCTTGTCTGAATTCACCAAGGACTTGACCATGCCCGACTGTCTCTTGCACGGTGTGCATCAACCCTACTCGCAAAAGTGAGGTGTGACATAATGCCAAGTGGTACAGTAGCTCTTCAAAAATAGAGGTCTTCAAGTGTCCTTATTGAGTTTGGCCCACCTCGAACGAGCAATCCAAGCTCTGGCAAGTAAAACGCACAAGCCGAGCCGAGCGAGGGAAGCTGTTCATAGCTATCACGGCCATAGATGGATGGCTTGCAGTAGTATATCCCACAGACTGACAGAAACGTACGGATATGGGATATATATATATATATGTATTTTTTCAGTTTTGCAGATGCACCAACATGTCCTCAAGAATTCCATCAACTAAATTCCGCAGAACAACGGCAGAACGGGGATATGTTGGTAGACCCGCTTCAACTTTAACATCTCGCTCCCGCCTAGAGTCGCAGGCGACAGGCTTAGGCAGCAAGCAACACAGTGATATAGTGGCGACCGGACTGAGCTGACACTCGATGGCATCGTTGTTTGCAAAAATGCTGATGGATGCCCAATCATCCCAACTCTGGCCCGTCTCTGAACTGCGCTGCCTTCTGGCTGAGGCCCACAAGGCCCACCCACAAACATCAAAGTTTCCAGCCTGGCTGGCATTTTGCTTGAGGTGGTTCATCAGGAACCGCCTTCCAGTCAACAACCATCTTGCTCACAGGCACCACTGGGGCAGCAACATTTGGGGGTGGCCTCGGCATGAAAGCCCGCAGCTCTTGCTTTGTGTGGGACAGGCAAGGCAGGGGAAGCTGCTCCTGGAAGAACTCCTGGATGTATATAGGCATCCGCTGCTTCTTCGTACTGAAGTAGCATACAGCAATACTGAATGACAGCTTTTGGACGTTCAGGACTTTCTCATCCCCAAGCACTGCCTTCCATCTTCCTAGTCGAGGTGCTCATGGCCTTCACCCGTTCCAAGCTCCTCTGTAGCTCGGGGGCCAAGGGCGCCTTGGCAACGAAGGGCACGCCGGCGGCGTCGAGCATAGAGATTTGGCAGCAATGCAGGAAAAGCCGTGGGCACCAGTAGACAGCCCTGCCTACAAAAAGCGAGACGCGCGAGAGATGTGCGAGACGCCAAGTGATTTTGAAATGATTTGAAGTGAGGCTAATAATCCATTCATATCACAGAGCATTATAGTATCTACAGTATGCAATTGATGGGAGCCTGCGCGGTCAAGTTGGCTTTGAAGACCAATCGCACATGTCAGACAGACAACGAGGCCCCTCACCCCATGCCACCGCACCTCCGTAGGCAGGATCTCCGATGATGGGACGCCCGATGCCCGCCAAATGGGCACGGATCTGATGCGTGCGGCCTGTGAGGGGTCGAGCCTCCAGCAGCATCACCGAAGTGCCTTTGAGCTCATAGACCTCCAAGACCACATACTCAGTACTGGCCTCAAGGCCAAACAGGTGTCAGAGTTGGTCGGAAACCAATGAGCCCCAAATGCTCTTTGAGACCTCTTTCGGAACCTTAGAGCTGCAACGTGGGCAACGGGTCAGTCGCGTGTGAGTTGCCATGGCAACTCACAGCTTGCCCAAATCCAGAGAAGCCCCGCCTCCTTCCCAGTCCGCGACCAAGTGGTTTGCATAACCTGGCCGAGGGAAGAAGCTTCAGCAATCAATTACAATCAATGATGCAGCCGAACAGCTGTGGAGCCCCCCGCGGAGGGCAGGCTCGTCAAGGGTGAGGCCTCAGTGGCTCGTTCTTCAAGTGCTTCAAGCACTTTCAAGCCAAGTTTATCTATCCTTAGGCACCACATGTGGGAGAGCCAAACTATTACCTTTGACGTTCATGTGGGGAATCAGGTCCCTTACAAGGTGATCACTCCACTCTTTAAACTCGTTTGCGCTGAGCTTCGATCAAGCCTGATGCACCCACCGGGAGGGGCTCACCAGAGCACAAAGCCCAGTAAACCTTTGTGACCTGGCGCGCCGCATACTGCAGCTCCAACCAGCTCGTGACTCCTCCACCAGCTGGGGACGAAAAGGCATCGCCATTATCAATGGACAGTTCCAAACTATGATAACATTGGCCTATGTTCAACATCCCACCCAAAACAAAAGAAGTGCGCATTGCTATTGCAATGCTCATCAATGCTCAAAGATTTAAGTGCTGGATGAGCACAAACATGACCATCACTGTCTGGATTTGACTGGATAAACGTGGAAAAGACACACTTTAAGTTATACAAGCATAGGCCCCAAACAGCTTCAAGGCGATTCGTTTAGACCAATATTGATATTAGTCAAAAATCGATTTCTTGGCACGCCCTACCTTCACCCCAAGAGCAAACTGCTCGCATCGCTTTCAACCCCTTCTCCTGACTCCTCAGGCGCCATGGCAATGGGCAAAACCCCTGAGGTCTGAGCATCCAACCGGGAGAGGCGCTTGATGGGACAGTCATCGCCCATCGCACTGAGCAGCCTCACGAGCCGTGGCTTCGCTCGGCCGGGATATTCCTTACATAGCCGTGAGAGTCCAAAGCTTCGAAAACTAAGGCAAACGATAGAAACCAAATCTAAGCCATTACGGCAAATATCTAGCTGATATCAAGTGCAGCCCGTGCAGTTTGCAATTAATTTTTCTGGATTCCCTTCAGCTAGCATCAACTAACAAAGCCAATCAATTGCTTGAACTTGACTTGCACTATACTGGTTTGGTTTTCTTTGGTTTAGAGAGGCCAACACCTTGGGCTCGATCGCCCCCCCGTTCAACCCCTCCATGCCTGAAATCCCTACAAAGGCTCCAAGCTGCCAGTCCTGGGGGCTTCCTTGGGTTCAAAAGTTCATGACTACCTCCCATCACCACCTGCACTCACCATCCATCACCGGCCTCTGCACTTCTGCAAGCACCGCCTCACTGGTGCGGCCAGCTGCCTTCTCCACCGCCAGCAGCCCCGAGCCCGAGCGCAAGCAGCGAAGGCCACTGCCTGCCGTGGTACACGTTCGAGGTCGGTAAAGTGACCGATAGTGGTGGATCAAGATTGCCGAATTGCTGCGCCTAAGCCAAGAAATGTCATTCCAGTAAGTCGAGAAACACCCCCTCAATTTCCGTTGTCGAGTGCTATACACACGTATATATAATCACGTGTAATTGCACCTCTTCGCTGGAAGACCCATACCATACTCACAATGGTGTTGCCATACAATACATCGCGGTTCGAGACGGAACGCTTTTGGGCGCACCTTCCAGCTCCACTGCTGCTGGCGCATGGGCCACCCAAGTCTGCCGCAAATCTTCGAGCAGCTCTCCCTGGAGAGAAATGTTCTTCGTGTTTTTTTCAAGCTGGAAACCTGGATTGGAAGTCGTGTTTAGCGCATCTTAGTGCGTCTTTGCGAAAAAGGAAGAAACATCTGAACGGCGCACGCTCCGTCGTGATGCTCCACCAGACTTCCTAAGCTCCCCACCTTGTCTGGCATGGCTTTGATGATGGTACCCCACATAATGCCGTTCGGTGGCAACTTCTGATCCGACAAAGCCACTGCAAGTTCCAGGGATTGCTGCCAGCGGGCGCAACGTGCACATGCATTGACGCTGGCGCTGCAACTGTAGTAGTCCTCAGGCATGAGCCAGCTGTGAGCCCGCTTATTAATGGCAAGCAAGTCACAACACCCCGTATTGTTTCACAAAAGCATACCTAACGACTCCGGTTCCAATGTGCACATGGCAAATGCCACTCCTGTAAGCAACATTCCACTCCATACATATCTGCGATTTTATCCTTCCAATTCACTAAGGCTAATTGTCTGAGGAATGCCAGCTTGCAATCGGTGGTACATGCTCAACTGCGGCATGAGTCTGGAGATGAGGGCAACAAGTGTAATGCCTCCTGCCAGTGCAGAGCATTGGCACAAGCGCTGATTGCTGCGGACGTGCCTCGAATTTGAGCAGGGAAGAGGAGAGCAGGTGCAAAGTGACCACTTGCACTTGCATTCCTCGATTCACCTTCTTCGTTGTGCCGAGCTGTTGGGTGAATTGTTGGATGGCCTAGCGGGATAATCTATGCAAAATCCAACCATCACCACTTGTGCCCGAGAAGGGCAGCTGGGCACAATTGAGGTCCCGGCCACCCTCCAGAAAAGATGAGACCTGGCTCCTCAGCCTGGACGCTTCATCATTGGGCCGACTTCAATTAGAGCACCCCAAAGACTGAGAAAATGTCCCGCCAAGTTGACGCCAAGCTCAAGTCAAGGCGCAAAAGGTGTCAGGCATCAGCTTCACCTCCACACGCTAAGTCTATTTCAAGTCCGAGCACTCAAACTGTTGGCTTCATCAAGCGAGCTTTGTGAGGAAGCCCTCATCAACTATCTCCAAAGAATGACGAGGGACTCTCCGAACAGGGGGCAGTTCAGTTTAAGCGTCGCTCCCTTCGACGGAACCATGATTGACGCAGGAAAGCAGTGGTGCAGTGCGAACCAAGATCCATGAGACCGTTCAAAGGTTATTTTTGCGGCATGTTTCACCATCATGCTGCAAAAGAATCTAGGTCAGCCCTCGGATTAGTTGCACCTGCGGCATCTGCTTCAGCAACTGCAGTCCACGTTCCCACTGAGCTCCCTTATCACAGGCACTTAGCACGGAGCCATAGCTCACAATGTTCGGGCTGACCTCAGCCTTAGCGACGTAAGCGATTGCCATGTCCACTCCAACTTTTTGGTACGGAGAATGTGCAGGTCGAATGCATATTGGCCTCCCTTTATGCTCTTTGTTGCTCTGCAACTATGCGAGCAGCTGCCCACCTCTCGAACCCTGGATCGCCCACCTCTGCCATCAGCTCCAGCACGCTGAAGGAGAGCTCCCATTGGCCACTGCTGGCCAAAGCGGCCAAGGTGGCGCTAAAGCTGTAGACATCCTGACACCAACACATGGAAGGTCATTCCCAGTATCAACCACTTGAGGCAACTTTGGGACCACTCCCTCAAGCAACGAAAACCATAGCAATAGTTGTCAGTCATTGAAAGCTGAAGTACTTTGCTGCTCGATCGGGGAGGCTGGACACGTTGATGCGAAAAGCTACGGCTACAAAATATTGATACAGTGAGTTTCTTCAACACCTTCTTTGCATACATTGGCATGGTGGTTCATGTCATTGACTACATTGGCCAAGCTGGTTTAACGGCTGAGGCGTCCTCCAACTTGAGGCCAGCGGGGGTAAACGAAAGCTAGGGCAATCCGTTGCAAAAAGTGCATCAAGGTGCAATCCTAGTTCAACGAAGCAACGATGCCTAACCGCATCGGCGAGCTTGCCAATATCTTGTATTGGCAGGCTTCCTCACTGGAAAGGCGGTTCTAGTGAAAGATCACTGTGTTGACCTCAGGCCTCTTGCTAAAGCAAGAACATATCCAGTAGCTAACGCTAGCGTTCGTGAACGGAACTTGAGATTTCGGGATCATCCTCTATCGCTCACGGAGTGCTGATCACATCCCGAGACTGGGGGGTTCATGCACTGTATTCCATTGTTCCACGGTCCCCTGCTCATCATAGGGGCTCAAACCAACCTTCTTCGCTCAGCATCTGGTGCGAGTGTGTGGAACTTCATCCCTGCCAACAGGCTCAAAGCCGCAGGCCAGTGACTGGAACAGGCATCCATGGCACAGCCTCAAAGCAGCCAAGAAACAGCACAGAACCTTTCTGTGGACACACACGCCTGCAAACGGTGAAACATGATAATATTCAAAAATGTTTGGCGCTCAGGTGCTCCCAACTCTAGCAACCAAGGCTCTAAATGACATCGTGTCCAAAGGAATAGAGGACACCGTCGCAGCCTCCAGCAGCGCAATTGCGTATTGCCACTGGCCTCCTTCGGCGCAAGCCTTAATGGCAGAACCTCGTTCAACGAAAGCTCAAACATGTGACTCCGAATTCAATCTATAAAATAGCTCCAGCATGACAAAAGGTCAGCTGACTAGCTTTAGACCACTGGTGGTTTTCTTGTTCATGAACATTGCGAAAAGCATACTTCATGGTGTATATTATCTGTGCCAATGATGCAATATAGTCTCGAAGTTTCTCTATTTTTTATCTGCTCTGAGCAAAACAAATCATCAATCTGATATTTTGCTTAATTATGTTACGTTCAGATTCATATTAGTTTTTCCAACTAATTTCCCGTCATCAATGAACTGACGACGTTAATGTCTTGTCTACGTTGACCCGAGAATCCTTGAAGACCCACACCTTTGCACTGCTTGAAGGTGTTGCTTGCGTCTCTGCTTCGCCAAAAGTCTAAGTTCCTGAACTTCCTGAGTCTTCAACTCACAGACCGCCGACTGCAGCCCCAGGAGCTGAAACTGATCACATCCCGGGGCAGCTTTAGGTCGACCATCGACTCAAAGAGCTCCCTCAGAGTCAGTCCGTTCTGACCATCATCTCGGAAGAATGATTGTCGATCTACGAGAAACAGTGCAAGTGGACCGTGGTCCAGACCGCCAGGCATGTTCCGGACACTCCAAGGTTTTCAAGATGCGTTCCCGTAGGCTGTTTGTCTGGCGAAGACTAACCATGGATATCCCTTGCGCGGATCTACAACAATCCTGCTACACTGAGTGGGCCCCATATCACTCGATCTCCTCACCACCCAATTGAAAAGTGGGATTGAATGACAACAAGTAATGTTGGATCCTGAACATTCAAGGGGTGAATAACCAAGAACTGTCCTGAAATTATTTCCAAACCCAGAATAGTTTATGATGTGTGTGTGGATGTTTATGGTCGGCTCCCCACCCAACCCGGTCTTGGAAACTTGCCCCATAATGGTTGACCCACCGGCATAAGCCAATTTACAAACCACGCTAAAAATCTATTGCTTTGGTGCTAAACGGCTGGAGCAGTAAAAGTTCTTTAACTAGTGCATGGGACTCTGTTCTCTAACCGTTGCTTGAGCTGGAAGATGCAGTTTTGCGATGATGGATGTATCTGAAACAAGGCGCCTCACCACCTGCTAGCAAATCATTGAGGGAGTCTGAATAGAATGAATTCGTGGTGGTGGCGGTGGTGGTGGTGCAGCGGGAGCAGCAGTAATCGGAGTGGCAGTGGTAGCAGTAGTAGCATGCGGTGATGTAAAGGGGAAAATAGCTCAACAATAGACAGCTAAGCTCAAGTTTTTCCCAGGGCGTCAATGGATTCCACTTCTGTTTCTCCTTGTGACGATCTGGGGGTTGGAATAACATTTGATAGAATTCACTTTTCCTCGGCACGTGCACTATTGCATGACCGTTTGTTTGGAGCAATGATTTTGATCAGTTTTCATAAGGTGATTGAAAAAGGTTCAGGCCAGAGTTCAGGACCGGAAGCAATATATATATATAGCTCAACAATAATTAGAAGCTAAGCTAAGCAAGCCTGATTCAAAAAATGCCCACCTGTGCCAGTCAATGCCTCTTTGGTACTATATCAAAGTTAAAGTGGAGTGCCGCAGCTCAGCAGACTGTGTCTTGGTGCAAAGCTCATCCCAAATGCCAAGCTTGCTTCACCGGAGCCGAGAATCAAGGAGAGGTCCCATCGTGGAGCGCATGCAAAAATGGCACCTCGAAAGGCAGGTGCAGCAGTGCAGCGCAGAAAAGGATCTTCCAGCTCTTCGACGACGACCAACTGCGAAGATGCGAACAAAAAAAGGGCTTGCTGCGGTCGTCCAACATGGCCATCAAATTGGTAGCAATGCGGAAACTATATAGATAGATCAAAATGTCCCTGCAGGCAAGGCACTGTTGCAAACCACCTCATTCGGCTTCACGCTGATTTGAGGCATGAGCTCCCAAAAATGCAGGGCTGTTTGCCATGATTTGCCGGCACAAGCGCGGATCGCTTTGCCACAGAAGATGACATCCTTGTGGCAAGGTCACCCATGGCTCAACGCAAGCAGTGATCGATTTAGGTTTTTGTGGCTCTTGATTAAGGATAGGTAATAAATAGATAATTATGTATATACTGGTATGTATATATATATATATGTACACTCTGACTCACCATGGAAGGGAAAAATCCGTTGTTTGTAAAGGAAAGTAGTCTTCCAAGGCGCCAGTTTCAACTTCCATGTTAGTGACAGAGTGTAAGTCTAGGGCAACTACAGTTCTTACATATATACTTGAATTTGTCTCAAGGAGTGCGTCGATTACCAACACATGGGTTGGGGATTGCCAACTGAGCACGTCATCCTGAGCCGCACGAGCGAGCTCGGCTTCTAATCTCAGACTGGTGGCAGGAAGCACTGCGGAGCGAAGCATGGTCTTCACCACAGCTTCTCCAGCAGCAAAGGAATTGGATTGCAAACAGGCATCCATGGCCTCAGGGCCATATGTATTCCCGAAGAAGTCATATTCTGTCATGGAGAGGGAGAGAGAGAGAGAGAGAGAGAGAGACAAAAGCAATGAGAAGAAAACGTTTACCGGAACTTTCGATGTGCGCCAGGATCATGAAGAAGCATTCCACTCTCCAACCCCTCCGGACAAAGCCAATGTCTGTGGCAAACAAGGCCCAAGCCCATGTGTAGGAGATCACGTTCTCTTCAACACTGGCCTCTGCACTTCCAAGAGGACAATTCTTCCGTAACTGCCGTAACTCACAAATCCGCCCGCACCGAAGGTGCTGAGGCGTTTTTATAAGGCACGCATTATACCGCAAGTACCGCAAGTACTAAATAGCTTTAGCTAGGGGGGGGGGCATTTTCGCTCTAGAATACTGTGTTTTTTCACGTTTTTGGAACCGGCTTAAAGTGCTGGAATATAAGTTCGTGCTAATTTTTGCTATCTTGAAGCCTTTAGTGATGCAAGAAATGCAATTTTTTCTTTGCATCATCTGCACCATCTGAGCGGTAAAGTGTAATTGGACTGAGGCCGGACATTTGGCTGAACAGGTGCCCCTAGTGGGGCTCAACATAGCTTCCATATTGCGTAACATAGCCCTAGAAGTCACTATCTAACGGACGTGTCTGCGAGATAGGGACTTGAACGTCCAGGTACGTGGCTGGTCAGGAGCAGAGATAAGGAAAGATAAGGTCCAGGAATGGTGGTCAGGAGCAGACTCACGAGCATAGCTCCCATATGGTCGAACATAACCCCAGAAGTCACTATCTCAAGTATGCTTCCCCGAGATAGGTACTTGAACGTCGTAAACATGGCCCAACGAAGGCTCAAAAGGGACTGGAATAGAGTGAAGATATTGCCTAACATAGCCCTAGAAGTCACTATCTAAAGGACGTGTCTGCGAGATAGGGACTTGAACGTCGTAAACTGGAATAAAAAACCGCCCCTAACGTGGCCAAACATAGCTTCCATATTCCCTGACATAGCTTTAGAAGTGATACTTGGCTCCACAGGAGCAGAGATAAGCAGAGATCACGTCCAGGAACGGTAACATTTTCGCTCGAGCAGAGCGTGCATATGATCGAACATAGCCCCAGAAGTCACTATCTCAAGCATGCTTCTTCGAGATAGGGACTTCAACGTCGTAAACATGGCCCAACGAGGGCTCAAAAGGGACTGGAAAAGCTTGCAAAGTCACTATCTCAAGCAAGCATGTCTCCTCGAGATAGGGACTTGAACGTCCGGGTACGTGGCTGGTCAGGAGCAGAGATAAGGAAAGATAAGGTCGAGGAATGGTGGTCAGGAGCAGAGATAAGGAAAGATAAGGTTCAGGAATGGTGGTCAGGAGCAGACTCACGAGCATAGCTCCCATATGGTCGAACATAACCCCAGAAGTCACTATCTCAAGTATGCTTCGCCGAGATAGGTACTTGAACGTCGTAAACATGGCCCAACGAAGGCTCAAAAGGGACTGGAATAGAGTGAAGATATTGCCTAACATAGCCCTAGAAGTCACTGAAATATTGGCCCCTTCCATGCGGTGCGGGCGGTTACCGTCGCGAAGCGACGTGAATAAGGGCAACAGCTTTTTGATTACATTGTGCTGAGCAATCTAGCTTTGTCTTACTTCTGGTACGATCGATTGTGAACGTACAATACCAACAATCTCTGTGATCTTTTTCAGTACCATAGTATTACTGTATCTGGGCTTTTCTCAGCTATCACCCACCGGGTGGGTTGAAAACCATGCTGGTTGTTGGAGGATCTTTGCATCGCTGGCGCTGGATAGTCACTGGACTGTTGGGCCATACCTACCAGGCGCTCTCCGGCAAATTCACAAACTCCAGTCCATGGCTCGCTGGAAATCGGTTGCCTCCGCCATCTGCTGCAGAAGACTCACAGCGGCTTGCCATCTGACATGACAGGAAACGCCCACATCAACGAATGTCCCCTACACGAGATGTTACACCATGATTACAGCAGGACTGTCTGTCACAGGCCCCAAGCCTCTTGCAGCGCTGGCAAACTCCGATGACGGCGTTGTAGCTCCAAGTCTCTGGAGGCACCTCAACTTCGTGAGGGATCCACAAGCCTTGTGAGCAGGAAAACTTGAAACAAGTTACCTGCATTGAAAAAAGTAAAGAAGTTGCAGAAATTGAAATGGTTGGATGTGCTTGGGAGGTCCAACTTTTCACGCTGCACCCATGTTGTTCTACCCTACTTGGCAGACCGGGCACCTCGACCATGAAACTGAGCATTGCGATGGCTTGTTGCCATTCTCTGGCTTTGCAACAGGCATGGATCACAGAGTTGTAGTGCTGCACCTCAGAGATGGCTACCAAGACCGCAAGCGCTAGGGTCAGGAGAGAGGAGAATGGAAGCACATGGCAGCTCAAGAATAGGATGGCATATATCACTTGCAGGTCCCTGGTAGTAATCAAATTGAAGAAGTGAAATCACTCAAGCACTGGGAAGAGCCTCCTCTCTGTTGATCGTCACTGTCATATCTTTCATCCTCATCTTCACCGAGCAGCGGTGAGCTTTCTGCCATCCGCCTGCAGAGTCGCCAGCAGGCGCCTCGGGGATCCAAAGGATACATCTGCCAAGGATTTGGGTCTTGTCCTCACATCAAAACACGAGCTCCTCCAATTACCTCATGGCCTCATGGCCTCGTGGGCCTTTATGTCACGTGGCCAAAGCATTCCAAAACAGATCAAAAACGATCCTTGCCTTGCTTTCCCGGCTTGCCTCGCCTGAATCGCCAAACTGCATAAACACTCTAAACACCCTCCCCAAAACATCCATGCCTTCGTTCATGCAGTGATCTTTTCTGCAGTGCTGAGGAGTGCAGTTTTGGGTCCATCCTTGAAATGCTCTCATCCGCTGGTGATATGCTTTTACCGAGATATCGCCAAGCCTGAGCGAGGCTTTTCAGGGTTGCCAAGCTGTCATCGCAATCTGGCCTCCCAATCAGCATACATGAACTGAATGACCAATTTCAACATCACAAATCCTCAACAAGGCCTTGTCATCATGGAAGTGGCAGGCGAAACACCCGCAACACGGGTAGCTGGCCATCAACCAACGCAGGAGTCGGAAACAGAGTTTTCCCTCGCGTAAGCTGCACTGTGATGACTCATGGACTCATGCCCGTCTAAGTTGCAAACGATGTCTGCACAATGCTCAAGCCAAAGCGATCCAACACATGTTGCTAAGCAAAAACTGCTGGCACAATGCATTAGCAGTTCCCACATAGCGCTGCATGCGTTGACCTTGACCTGCTAGCAGCAGAAGGCTAATGACCCAGAGCGGGCAGGGGGCTTGAACACAACGGCCATAACACCGTGGAAGACTGACACCGCTAACACCGCTCACCAACCCACACAGCGACGGGCTTTCTTCTGGACCCGAGATGTGCATACCATGGCGAAATACATCTTCATGGCCGATTTTTGAATCTTGGTTTGGCTGCCCTTGACCCGCGCCATGCCACGCCGACACAGTGGCAGTGGGAGCACCAAGTACACCATCTGGCACCTGAGCAACTCACTCGGCCAACGGACAGCAAAACCCACAACTGGCCCAAGATAGGAA